TTCTTTCCTGCATTGCTCATTCAAGGAATCCATCATTTTTCTAATCGCCCCTAATTTTTTTAATCAATGTCTTTTTTAGAAGGAGTTATAAATTCTTTTACTGCAGTGTTTTTTTCGGATTGGGTTTCCTCCCTATGTTTCTGTAGTTGCTTCTTTACTTCAGATGCTATGAGTTCTGAGAATTCTTTTTTTATTTCAGAAAAGAATTGTGGGGGCTGGTGAAATGGCTCAGTGGTCTAAAGCACCTACTTAGAACAAGCTTAGCAAAGCACAGGGACCACGGTTCAATCCCCCAGCACCACATGCCAGCCAGCCCCGCCCCCTCGTGGGCTGAGCTGCACCCCCCCACATAAATAAATAAAATTTTTTAAAAAAAGAATTGTGCTCTGAATTCCTCTATAACTTTCTGCTTTTGCTTATTTACTATCGACACTATTAATTCATGCATTTAAGCTGAACTAGTGTCTTCTGCACTTGTTCTGGGTGGGCACTGGCTTTCCTCCATATGTTTCTGCATTTGATTCTTTACTGCAGATGTTATTAATTCAGGGACTTCTTTTTTTATTTCCAATCTGAGGTCCTCTATACCTTTCTGCAGCTGTTTCTTTATTTCAGAAACCATTGATTCAATGCTTTTGGCTGTGTGATTCCCAATTTGTTCTGTGTTAGTGTCCTCTGCACTTGTTATGGGTGGGTTTGGGCTCTGAGATTGCATTTTGTTCCTTCTCATCATTTTGTGTAGCACTGTCTTCTGACCTTTGTTGTAGATCTTTGTTGCAGTTATAGCTTTAGCACGTTCTGAAGTTCAGGTTCAGATCTACAAAGTTTGGATTTATCCAGCCGTGCCTGGCTTGGGTCTGGCTGCTGTGCTCAGCTCCTTCCTACTGTTGCCCTTAGGGATGAACCTGTTGCACCCCTCTGGCAAGATTTTCTGCTCCTGGACTAGCTGAGTGGTTCTATCCTCTACACTCTTTGCAGTGATTGCAGCTGCAGGGTTTCACCCCAGGCCTGTATGCCAGGCCTGACCTGAGCCTGGAGGGGACAAGGTGGAGTAGAGGGGAGAGGCAGCTCTCCCACACACTCACCGGGCCTGGGCTAGGACTGAGTCTGGAGTTCCCGGAATGCTGCAGAAATTCCTACTCAGCGGGCGGGGTGGGGAAGGTAGCGGGAAGCTCTCCCGCACACTCACTGGGCCTAGGCTAGGACCAGGTCGATTTCTTCATTTTAGATGAAACCAACGTGCTTAATTCTACTAGACTGGTGATTTTCACAAGGAAACCCTTTTGCCTTGTAACACTGTACGTGCACCCTTATTTTTATGCACAACAAAAAGCCAAGGAGATTTGATGATAAAAAGGGATGAGTGCCCATAGCTAAGGTCACTAGACTTTCTCTTCCCTGTCCTACTTTTGGAGATATATATCATCATCCAAAGCCCCAGAGATAAAAGCATGAAAACTTTGGACTATGGAATCCCTAATGCTCCTCCTAATACTGCCAATAAGAAGGAAGACAAGAAAAACCAGGAGAATGAGAAGGAAGGAATATCAGAGTAGGAAAGGCAAAAGAAATCATGGCATAAACTCCACACTGTAAACAGGAATTGCTACATTTGAGGTTTTTATCAGTAAATGGATGCGCCGAGAGACTATATCCTTAAGTGAAATAAATCAGACCTGCATGTGCCAACATTGTATTGCCTCTTTAGTGTGAGACCCTGAATGAAACAATAAAATATGAAAGGTACAGTAGATCCTGGACATAGGAATGAACCTCTTGAAAGGAAGGAATTACTGAGTTGAAAAAGACAGGAGAGGGAGTGGGAGAAAGATATCTATGTATTAAGCAGGATGGTTTGGACAACTGTACTATGTATTTCTGCTGGTCTATGGAAAGGAGCAGTTAATGCTTAATTTGTTTTGTCTCCTTTTTCAACTGTTGTCTTTTTTCTTTTACTTTCATATATATTTCTTTCTTCTTCCAATTTTGCATACATATATCTGGTAATATAAACAACTAGTTGGAAGACAGTATTATGCATTACAACAAATACTGTGAAATTCATATTATATTAAGTGAAATTCTGCATCACTTGTAATCTTTTGTTTTAATACTATTTTGTACTTTTTTAAAAAAATTAAAAAGGAGGAAAAGGAACACTGTGGGACTGTCCTGCTTCAAGGTTGTGTATGGTGAGATTTTTGGATTTATGTGCAAACATGAGAAGTATATAATTCTTTATGCCTCTTTTTAAAATATATTCTAATTTTTAAATGTTTTTTATCATATTATGTAGGGACTTAAAGTTCAATATATCAATACTTGATGAAAAATACCTGTTCCTTATTATGCCTAAGATGTTTGATATGCAGACAGATAGTGAAGTTAAGCTTAATAGCCTAAGTTCTTTGATAATAACAATAAGCTTGTCTTCTGGATGGTTAACAACCTAAGTTTGCAGACCAAAATTAGAAGAAAAGGAGGGCTGCAAGGAAAGCCAACATTTTGGCCCTAACCTTCTAAGGTCAATTAAGACTCAGGACATATGAGAACTTGTACTGTAACGTCATGTAACTCGGTAGTGTCCCAAATTTTCTGATCAAGGAGATTATGGGGCCAAAGAGGAAAGTGATTGATGATGTAGAGTGTGCCTAAGAGAGTCACATGGAGAGAAAACATTCTCTCAGGCTTTCACAGAGAGCACATTGGCCAAGCAATGGCCGTGACTCATCCACATGCCTGACACTGACAAAGGTTTTACAATCTGAGGTACAGGATCTCAGGATAAATCCTGAGGGGATTTCACTGATCTTATCAGACCCAAAAGCTACAACTCTTGTTTCATAGGTCCTGCTTTACCTTGGTCTTAACCATCCAGTAGAAAAGTATGAAGACGAAATATAGGAAGTAAAGCCATGCTGTTATGTTGAGCTGTGGGGGACAGGTCAATAATTTCTGACATTGCCAGTTAAACAGAAGACCCAATGCTATTATGGGCTACTGGACTCTTTTAGAATATTTTGCTGAGTTTACACACCTATAATATTCAATAACGGAACTTAGAAAAAATGGGGTATACTGATGAATGTCCATTTTGTATCTGTGTATTCAAAGTGGTTAGGATAGATATATAGTTACATTCTGTTAATGAATAGAATGATTTGTTCTAATGGTGTTTGTAAATAGGATCACAAGTTCGCATCTTGTACAGCAATTAACCACTAAGAAGAATGTATGCAATGTGTTAATTATTGTAACTGTCCTACCAATTTGATTTGAAACTGTCTCATTGCTATTTGTTTCTCAATAAAATTATGAAAAAAAATTAAAAAGGAATTACTGCTTTTATCCATACTATTTGCTACTCTTATTAGTTTGATGCATAGATAATCCACTGTATTTCAAAACATATAGTTTTACATTTGTTAGGGTCTGAGAAATGGTTCACATTAAGTAAGTTTTTGAGTAACCCTTAAATCTGGCTTCCATTCTGTCCCTCGTTTTTCTTGGTAATAAGGATGCAGAATAATAGCAGAGAGTGGTCCTGCTGGTCATAGTGTCACAAAACTAGATTTGGGTGGGAGGAATCACAGGACTCAAGGCCCAAGAGATGAAGAGATCAGCAGCTTCGGCGAGCATTCACTCACTCATTGGGACCAGCTGAGCACCAGCAGGCACAGCCCCTGACAAGCATCTGGGTTACAGTGATGTAAAAGTGACTTCAGCTCTCAGGCGAGGGACATAGGTGGGTAAGCATGCAAGCTACAACAGAGCCATAAGCAGACAGCAGGGCTATGGCAAAGATTGATGATAAGCCTTACAGGGCAGAAGCGAGGCTCCTTTGTCTGCTATATAATTCCCAGACCCTAAAGCAGGGCCTGGCTGTGTTCTGAGCAAATACTGAATGAATGACGGATCCTGCTGGTAGAAGGCAATAGGAAGTCCTACTCGACTACTTTGTAGAAGAAGCAATGCTGGACTTATTTACACAGCCTTTGGCTTTACAAAGCCTGCTTAGGATGGTAGAGGAACAATGTGTTGGGCAAAGGCAGTTTGCAGAAAAAGCAACATGCAGCAAGCATGAACCAAGAAGGCACTTAGTCCTGATTCAAAGAATTTTGCAGCTACTCAATGCCCTATGTGGGCCTCTGGATTTGGGAGGCGCCCTGAAGCTCATCTTTATAGCTTGACCTCCCCAGGAAGGTAGATGAGGGTTGTGAAAGGGCCTCAAGCACTGCACAGAGAAGCTGCTGTGCAGGGCACAGCGGGGAACACTGGTGCCTGCAAGATGCAGCACTGAGCAAGCAGTGAGGAAGAATTCAGATATGCCTCAATTTGAACATTGCTGTCTTAGCAGGGGCACCTTGTGGGCCCCCTATTCTGTGCCTCTACTCATGTCTTGGCCCCTCACTCACAGCAATTGTGATGACACATCATGGGTGGTGTTAGTCTGCTGCCTGCGGCTATCACCGAATACCACAGTCTGACTAGTTTATAAAGTCCATCTGGCACACTGCTCTGGCTGGGGAGTTCAAGCTCAGACACTTTCACCTGGTAAGGTTCTCTTCACTGTGGTGAAGACTCTGCAGAGTCCCACGGTGGCACAAGGCATCACATGATGAGAAAAAAAACCCAGGCTCAGGTTTCTGCTCCTCCTCTCAGAAAGCTGCAGCCCCTCTGGATTAGGCTGCAGCCCTTACCGTCCTTTCACCACCTCTCAAATGCTATAGTCGGGTTAAGTTCCACCCTCTTCACACCTCACAGTGAGAGTCACATCTCAGCATGAGTCTTGGCCTGGGCCTTCAAACCACAGCACAGGTGACCTCTGTGCTCCTCTGTGAGGGCTGCATCTGCTCCCAAGCCCCAGTAACCTAACGTGGTACCCGGCTTTCACATGCACATATAAACAAACACTTGCTTCTGTTTGGTCCTGGGAAGGTGATAGCCAGAGGGAGGGGAAGGGGCAGAGGACACGCAGCCTCCAGAAGGGGCTGGCTCACCTCTATGCTGCTGAGCCACTGCCGGACTGACAGGAATGACTCCTTTGCCGTGAGGTCATACACGATGATGACGCCATCAACCTTTCGGAAGAACTGCTGGGTGATGCAGCGGTACCTGCCCGGGGAGGCAACCATCAGGCTCATGCATCCCTGCTTCCCAGCCCAGACTTCAGGGTCCGCTCCTCACCTCTCCTGTCCAGCAGTGTCCCACAGCTGCAGGGCCACCTGAGAGCCATCCACATTCACCGTCTTCACTCGGTAATCAATACCTGGAAGGGGGACCAGGCTTGTCAATGGGGCTCCTTGGCCTGGAGACAGCTTCACTTCTAAACCAGGAAGTGAAGCCTCCATGTCTGGAATCATGCCAGGCCCAGGGGAAAGCTGTCCTCACACCTCCCAGGAGACACTGTGAGGAGATACATGAGAACTGGTCCTGAGTTCTGCTTCTGTCTCCCACTGACTTCCTATGGACCAGGAGGAGGAGGACTCTACCTACTCAGGTAGAGCACTTGTAGTTGAATCAATAAGACAAGAGTTCTGGCCACTGAGTTCTTCCAGAGCTGTGGGAGACCAGAGACTCTGTGATGAAAGTGAACCTGGAAGAAGAATCCAGTCCCCGCTCCTGGATGTGCCACATTCCTGCCCTGGAGAGGCAGGACACCAGAGCCCTGTGCACTGTTAGGGGTCTGGGACTCAGCAGGGAATGCACTTTCCTTTGGGGAGAATTCTGCGTGACAGTTCATGGCTGCCACTACCAAGGCAAGGCAAGCTGTGTGGTAAAGAAACTAACCTAAGTGGCTGCCCCAGCAGGATGGATGTGATCAGTGGTGTTACAGATATAGAACTTTTACCTCTTCTCATTCCTAAACTGTGGGTCTTCCATAATTGACTCCCTGGGAAGTGCAATTAGTCTGTTTTCCTGTTTTTCAGAGCTTTCCATTTCAGGGCCACATGCAGGAAGAGTACAAGGACCTGATCTCACCAGCAGGAGAGGCCTACTGTTCATCAGTACGCCTCTAAGGGTCCATACACACCCATCCCTGGCTTCCCACAAACCAGGCCGATATCAGACTGGCAGGGCCTACAAAACAAGCCTACCCACCTTGCCGAGGTTCAAGTCAAGGCTCTGCCCCCTTCCTATCGGGCCCTGGTGCTCTGCCATGCATGAGGCAGCTCTTAGTCTATTGTTGGAGTGGGAATGGGAAAGGACCTGGAAGATGCAGTACAGGAAAAAGGAAGTGCAGGGGAAGGCCCAGTGGTAAGCATGGGCACAGACCTAAGAGTAGGACAGATGTGGAAAGAGATAGATCAAAGCAGGAGAAAGAAAAGGAAGTCTCCCTAAATGGAGTTCTGCAGCATCAGAAGGCTGTTCACCTCCTCAGACAGCCTGAAATAGAAGCTGGCCTGGCCCAACATGAGGTTTGGAAGTTGTCATGGGTACCCATATCAAAGCCTTCATTTGAGAAGTTAGGAAAATTGAAGCCCAAAGAGGGATCATGTCACCTTGAGGCCACATAGCCAATCAGTGGCAGAGGCAAGAGGAGGACCCAGGACTTCTGGTGTGCCTGGGACCTCAGCAACCTTTCCTGCCTGCACCAATCTCTGCCCATCTCTTAAGGCAAAAGAGGGTTCCTGCCACTCACTGAGCACCAAGTGGAAGCAACTTGGTATTAACAGGGACACTTTGGAAGAGGACAGAAGGTGTGCTTAGGGGGCAGGAACATAGGCCAGCCTCTGAGCCTCTCTTGGCCTTAGTCTCCTACCTGTTGAGCTGATGCTCCTGTTCCCCCACTGTGGTTCTGAACACACAAGGGAATGATGACTATAAAAGCCATGGTCAGCACCCAGATCACCTGAGTGTATTAACTGCAGGGGCTCTATCAGCTTGGTTAAACAGCACACAGTAGTCACTCAATACATTTATTTTCTGTTGAGTGATTCTGCTTGGTAGAAGTTAAAAGTCAATATGCCCTTGGGTGTTGCCACATATTCCAAAGCACTGTGCAACTGTGGTGAAGCAATTAAAAGCCTTTATTTAAACAAAATATTATTCAAGCATGGCAACACATTTAACCATGACCATCCATTCATAACTGACCCTAATGAGCTTCTGCAATTAATTCCAGCTGTCAGCCAGCAGGCCTGGGACAAAGGACAGGTGGAATTTGGTGGATAGAAAAGCTGTCCAGAGTGCTGTGCCCCATCAGCGTGTACACACACACACACACACACACACACACACACACACACGACCATATGCACAAGAAGGGGCAAAGTAAAGAAGTAGCAGGCCTACTGCAAGCAGGATATAGCGTTGGAGGAGTCCTGGTCAATCCTGGGGGAGCATGAAGAATCAGGGTCCTGTGAGAGAGGCAAAGGAGAGGCACAAGGCAGAACAGCTCCTGGGGGCAGGGGCTAGAAGAATCCCAAATCCAATCTTCTAATTTCAATTCTATAAATCTAGGGGTGGATTTAAGGATTCTGGGTCCCATCCCACTGAATGAGCTTAGCAGCTGGAGGTGTGAGGCATGGGCTTCACCCAGCCTACTGCTAAGGACAGCAGACACCAGTTTCCCTACCAGCCAGTGCCACAGCTCCTTCCAAGGGCTTCAAGTCCCTTCTTGGGAAGGACTCACCCACAGTGGCTGCAATGCCTGGGGAGAAGTGGTCCTCACAGAGCCTCCTCAGGAGGGACGTCTTCCCCACAGCAGAGTTGCCCACAAACACAATCTTGAAGAGTCGGTCTGGAGTGGATGGTGAACTTTCCTCCTGTGGATCACAGACAATTGGTCAGGACACCTGCTGGGGACAGCCCTCAGTCCTTGCTGTAGCCCCAACTTATTCTTCTTGTTCTGCCTGTGGTCCCTGGAAGCCCCAAACCAGAGAGGCTTCCCCGGACTTAGAATGCAGCTATCACAGAAGCTCTTTCCCACTTCAATGGGAAAGAGGAAAAACATCCACCACCAACACATGTCACCCAACTGCTATGACCCTGCACTGGGGAGGCAGGCCCTGTATGATGCAGACGTGGGAGAAAGCAGGCTTGTAAACAATCATAAGAGTGCAATGCTTGGGGAGCTGTCAGAGCAGGGCAGAAGCTATGGGACCAGGGAGCAGCTCAGAGAAGGCAGGGATTCTCCAGGCAGACAAGACTGCTGGGCCATCCCAAGGAGATCTACAGAGAAGAAGGTTGCTGTTCCACAAGGGCAGAGACATCCAGCTCGGCTGAGGAGCCCATTTCTGCCTCTTGTCCTATCTCCTCAGCTTGTAGCCATCCTTCTTGGGTACCAGCCAGTCTCTACTCAGGAAGCTGAAATGTGCTGTGATGCCTGGCAGCTTCCCAGAGGCCACTGAGGCTTCCTACAAGCCACTGAAGCTTCCTCAGAGCTACAGGATCCAGTGCAGGGAGCTGGACCACCCATCAGGTGGGGATTCTAGAAGCCGGGGTGGGGGGTATTAGGGTTTGTGTCTAGATGTCTCCTAAATCCCTATGCAGTCACGGGGCAGGCTTCTACAGTTTATGATTGATTCGTGGTCCAGTGCTGGGATTATGGATGAGTGCTACACCCATTCTGGGGTGGGCAGCCTGTGGACAATATAAGGGAGAGAAAGTCTTGCTCTTGCTCCTCCCTTTTTGCTCTTGCTGCTTTTGCTGTCTTGCAGCTGCCATGAACTGTTGCCCTCTGCCATGTGCCACTTTGTCTTGGAGCTGGTCAAATAATAACTGAAATCTCTACAAACTGTAAACTAAATAAACCTTTCCTTCCTTAATTCTGGGCATTGGGTATTTTGTCCCAGCAAAGAGAGAACCGTAACAAAGACAGTGGGCTTGTTCAAGGATACAAGGTAAGTAGGACATAGCTTGGGGTCGCTTTCTTCCACACAGTGGCTGTCCCTTCCTGAGAAACTTGCTCACTGTCTTGCCTGCAGGCTCAGGTCAGCACTGCCTGGTCAGGGGAGTCTTTCTGACATCTATTTAAGAGTGGATTGGGGGAAAGAGCTCCTGTCCTTGAGCAAATACTATAATGGAGTGGCAGTTAATATTATCGGTACTTGAGTTTCACAGAAAGTCATTAGCAGTCTTATGCAGAGAAATAAATTCCATCCAGTACTTAAGAAGGAATTCAAGGTCAACAACAGAATTCAAAGAACAATTTAAAAGCCCACACTCAAAAATGATGCCCCTGCCCTGTTTTGCTTAGTCATGTGATGCACAAATGCTGGTGTCTTTTGTCCCTGTATCTCTAATTGTCATTTGTTTGAGACTGAGCCATCGCGCCCTGGCAGCAGTAAGGTGGAGGAGAGTGTGAAGCCAGGGTAGGTGAGATGTCCGGGGGGCTGCTGCTCGTTGCTGTTCAAAGCACTTCTTCCTTAGGCCTCAAAGCAAATGCAGAAGATGCAGCTTCAGGCAGGACCCACCTCACAAGAGCAGGAAGCACTTGCTCACGGCAGGCCTGCAGCCTGCATCTCCTGCAGGAGGCGGTGACACAGCGCGCTACACAGGCGCTGGGAAAGGGGCTGGGCTGGGCTCCAGGAGCTGTGTGCTCATCTCCCTCCTATACACCTTATTGAATTAAAAAAAAACTTAAAAAAGAAAAGTAAAAGGGCTGGCCAGATAGCTCAGTGTACTAAAGCTCCTGCTTAGGCAGAGCACAGGGGCAGGGGCTCAATCCCGAGGGCACCCTGAGACAGCAACTGAGACTAGGTGCGGTGGCAAGCACGCGCCTGTAACCCTAGCACTGGGGAAGCTGAAAGCAGTAAGACCCTGTAAAGCCTGTACTAAATATATATATAAAAAGTACAAATAGAAAAGTAATATGTGCTAGGAAGACAAGTAATTCTTCCTATCTACCTGAACACCCTAAAACGGTCATTATTCATGTTTTAATGTATTTCTTCATGCTTTTTTCATTTATTCATAAATATAAGTTTTTGGGCCGGGGAGATAGCTCAGTAGAATAAGCGCTTGCCTGGCAATCACAAGGTCCTGAGTTCAATCCCTGGTACTGCAAAAAAAAAAAAAGTTTTTATCTGAGTTTCTATGTAAATATATGAGTTTTTTTTTATTTAAAGGGACTAGAAACATACATAATTTATCTATTACCTTAGATACATAATCATTTATAACCCTATATATGTATTTTATTTTATCATCATAATTTGATCCTATTTTATCATAATTAAAAAATAAAGTCTTTAAATGTGATTTTTAACACCTGTATAATATTCTCTTAAATAATATAGTGTGATTTATGTCCCTATGGCTATTTTTCATTGGTTTGCCATTATAAATAACACCTTTTTATGTAAATCTGTATTTGATCTTTGTCAGTTCCCTTAGGAAAGCTTTGATAAGTAGAAGTGCTGACTTGAAGAATATGGCTTTCTAATTCTCGATTGCCCTAAGAGACCATCTTCGACCCGGTCACATGGTCTCCGGCTAAGTCACGGTTCATGCTGCGACAGGCTCTGTCCGGCAGCTCTAAAGTGCCCACCGCATTATGCTGGCACCAAGACCCATGAGCGCTCCCACCTCCCTCCTCCTTGTCCTGGGATGTCGGCAGGAGTGACCTGTAGGTGTGACTGTCCACCTCAGCCAGGAATGACGACCTGGCCCACCTGCAGCTGTCACCAGGGGACAAACTGGTGGGGCCTTAGCTCCCTAGGGCTGCACAGTGTGCAGTGGCAGAGGCTCTTGCAGGAGATGCTTCTGAAGCTGTTCAGAAGGTCATGTGGAGGCTGAGGGCTGGAGCAGACCACTTCAGGTCTGGGTCACAGATGGGGGGAGGGTATCACTACCTTGAGCCAGAGGAAGAATCTACATGGTCTCCTGTCTCCTTGCAGAATTTAGCAGGAAGGCTTGGCAGGAGGAGAAAGATTCTCTGAAGGGAGGAACAGGCAAGGAATAGGGGAAGAAGGCTGACTAAGAACAAGAGGAAATGAGGGTGCATAGTCTTTCCTGCAAGGCCCAGCCCTGCTGAGAGAAGCTCAACATGCAGCTTTGAAAGCCTTTGATGTTTCATAGGATGAGCCCAGAGAAAGCCTGTCTTAAGTAGGCGTGCAGTAAATGATTTGGATCTGAGTCAGAGAAAAGCACAGGATAGGGGGTGGGGACAACAGCACAGGTAACAGAGAATTCATCAGTACCCCCACATCTCTCCCCTCAGCACTTGGCCAAACAGGGAAAGGGGGCACTTGGAAGACATGAATGTGACACAGCCCAGGACCTGCTGTGCCAACTTTCTGAATGCCTCTGGAACTCCTGGGTGCTAAGGCACAGGACAGATCACAAAGTAAGGCCTATAGACCAGGTGGGCTGGCCCCTTACCTGGTAGAAGTCTTCTTTTCCCACAGGTTGCCCTCGAGGAGATGTGGGGGACAATGCCAAGGGTGGGGCCTGTTGAATTGGCCCCTCTCCCCCCTGGCTGGAGGGCCCCTTCACTTCAGCTGACTTGTTCACTGGTTGCTCAAGGGTGCCATCCAGGAGCTGGGGCAAAGGGTCTTCCTCAATGGAGATGATCCTGCGAAGTGGCCGTCGGAGTGGACCCTCAGCCCCTGGTTCATTGGTCTCAGGCTCCTCTTCTGTGAGGGGGTATGTGCTCAGGCCCAGGGAGCCCTTCCTTCTTGGAACACTAAACACATCTTCCTCCTCCTCAGACTGGCTGTCAAGATGAGAAGAAACACAAGTTGGAAGAATATCTCACATTGTAGGATGTCTTTTGTGACTGTCAGACCTCTGAAGGGGACAAAGAAACTCAGGAAAGAAAAGCCACAGATCGACATTCTGTAGCTCGATCATCCTAACACTAAGCCTGATGATAAGAATGCAGATGAGGATGGGGACAAAAGATTATGATCAGGACTGACTGAAGGCAAAGCCCTGAACAGATGGGCACAGGGGCTGCCCACATGCATGCTGGGCTTACTGGGGATCTATTATATTTGGATCCAAAATGTCCCCTAAAGACTCATACACTGAGGGCTTGATCCCCAAAGCAGCAGTCTTCAGAGCTAGGGTCTAGAGAGGAGACTGGATGAAGAAGGTGTCAACCTTAGCAGTGGAGTGGCCCAGTGAAGAGTTCACCGCTGACTAGAGTGCTGGGCAGTGTGGCCCCACAGGAAGGCTTTACCTTGTGCCCAGCCCCTCCCTCCCTGGCTTTTTCCTCTGTCTCCTGGCTGTACTCAGGGGAACAGCTCTCCTCCACCTCTTCATTCCGCCATGATGCTTCTGCCTCAGCGCCAATTAACGATGCACTGAAACGTAGGAAACTCTGAATCAAAATAAACTTCTCTAAGTCGTTTTTCTCAGATGTTTTGTCACAGAAATGGAAAGTTGGCTAACAGAAGGTCTACAGCTTTAGTGACCAAAATAAACACATTTTTACAAATGTGCAAAGTGCTATGGAGGAGAGGTAAAGGTAGCAGAGAGAGGAAGTAAAGCCCCTGACTGGCAGTCAGTGGCCTGCTCTGCCCCCAGTGCCGGCCCTAATACACTGTGCATCCTTGGGTAGGACACTTCCACTTTGCAAGCCTCAGTTTACTCACTAAGGAAACTGAAATGAAATCGCAAAGGTGGGCCATCTGCTCTGCCTATTCACAACTGCAACAACCCAGGCCAGGCATGTTCACCCAGCACCCTCACAGTGTGGGGTGCTGTGGCTGGGGGTGGTGGCATCTCACAGCAGGTGTCTGCTTCTCAGAGGCAACTGCTCCTTGAGCGTTAGAAAGCTTTGGGCCAAAAACAATAGTCATCCACCTCTCCTTGCTGTCCCTAGAAGTGCACACTTGCTTGAGCCATTTGAGCAGGAATAGCAGAGGGGTGAAAGGCCCAGGTCTCTGGGATGTACATGAGGCACAGGTGGTATTTTCAGGAAGTTTGCAGAGCAAAGGGCTCACCAAACCTCCTGAGCAAGGGAGCTCCTTCTTGGTCTTTGTGAAGACAACTGAAACAGAATTCTGAAAAGGAAGAGAAGTCTGACAGGCTGTACCGTGCATCCAAGTTGGATCAATCTCTCTATCACTCAGTCTATCTCTTCCTGCCTCTCTCTGTCTCTCTGTCTCTCTGTCTCTCTGTCTCTCTGTCTCTCTGTCTGTCTGTCTGTCTCTCTCTCTCTCTCTCTCACACACACACACACAGATTAAAAAAGGAAATTCAACAAAGTTGAAGTAGCAAGGAGGTAATCGGACTCAGAGAAAGAAATTTAGCAAAGAACATAGGAAATGCAGAACATAGAAACACCCTTTATTTTACCCCCTGGTTACAGCATTTATTGCTCCTAAGGATCAACAGTAGGAAGGAAAAAGAAAACCAACAGCAAACACCACCATTCTGAGGTTAATTGCAATTCTGAGAGATCAATTAAGACACAGTGCTTGCTCATAACAATGGTGAATTCATTTGGATTCCTTGACAGAAAATAAGAAATTTATAGCAAACCAAACATCTTTCCTTTTACTTATAAAAATCACAGTTTTAAATAAAAGCCAGCTGGCTTCTTCCCAGCACACTTCCTGTCTCACTACGGAGCCTGGTAACCATAGCATGAGAAGTACTCCCACCCATTTTCACTCTGCTTGCCCAGGCAAGAGGGACAGCTGCATGCAACGTGAGCAGCACGTGCACGCAGTGTTTTTCCAAAGGCTTTGCAACCAGAAACAAAATTACCACTTCCATAGGTTCCAAAAGGAAGCATTTCTTGGAAAGGACTTTTATTTGGGAAATTCTTCAGCACTGGAGATTCTGTAATACCCTCAGCTTAGCATGACTAAGTTCACTTTTGGTTTCACCACTACTGATGCTCTCTGGCATCAGTAGAGAACATCCACTTTTTACCAAGCCTGTATCAGGACTTGGAGTTCATGATTTGTTGCTTAGTGGATTATTGTCTGCTCAAGGGATGGGTCTATTTCACTCACTCCGGGTATCCAGGACATAGACCAAGAACTCACATAAATTCCATATTAAATGAGCATTTAATAATAGATATTAACAGTGAAAGCTATGTCCAATTCATCTTTCAAGCCCTTGTAAAATTCAAAAGAATACCTGGCACAGAGTGGGCAATCAGTAAGTGCCTGCCGAATCAATCAAAGGATACATTCAGTGCCATGGAACCAACAGGCCAACTACTACTGCAGAAATTTGGCTTCCAAATTGCATCTCATTATTCAGCTATTTAGAGATGAAATTTATGACAATCAGACCCAAAGATTTTCCTGATGAGCCGATTTATGTCCCCAAAGTCACTTTTCTTGACATATCTTTTATTTCAAGCTTGTTTCTCCCTGGGTCTGATCTTCAGGACCTCCACGTCTCTCATGTAGAGAGACCATTGTCTATGCACAGGCGATAAGCCAACACTTTGGGTTTTTAAACTCAATCATGTGCTGTCCACCAGCAGCAAAACATGTTGTATTTGAGCTAGTTAAATGTAAATCTGTGAAATGATCTGTCAAGCACAAGTCCCAATCTTGTCTATCAAAGAATCCATCCAGTAAGACCCCATAGAGCTCTTTAATTAACCTTCATAACCAAGACAGTCTTGTTTCTGAAAAAGCCAGGCACATCCATTCTGCTCAGCAGACAACAGTCATCCAGCCCCACCCTCTGCCCCTCGCCCAGGGACCCCTCCTTCCTCTCTCTCCATGCACCTATAGCACCTTCATGGCACAGGAGGACAGGCAGCCTCAGAAGACAGTGGCCTTTCCTGAAGATCTTCCTGCATAGTCCCCCCTCCAGCATGGATGTCACAGCAGGGAGGGTCACGTCCTCCAAGCTTCCAAGGCAGTAGGAGTAGCTGACCTCTGAGTTTCCCTCCAAGGCTCAAGGCCCAATCTACAGTATTGTGGCCCAGACCCAACACCCAAGCAGATAAATAAGTGATGAACAGTGATGACTTACCTTCTAAGTATCCCTCCGCTGTCCACATATTTGCCAATCACAGAGCCAGATCTCTGCTTCCAGCTTGTCTTAGAAGCAGCTGTGTTTGCCTTGGCTGCCTTATCTTTCTGTAGAAATACAGAATGCCCTCAGATGCATGCCTGTGTATTAGCCCCAGTGTCTGAGCAGAAAGAAGCTCAGCATTCCTGCTTCTGGGAGGCAGACTACCAAGAATGAAGTACACCAGCAGGGTGCTGGTCTCCCTAGTACCACTCACCCACTCTCCCCATTGGGTAGCAACCTAATTCCCTCTCCTTTCTAATAACTGAATCAAAGGAACAAACACACAGTGCAGAGCCTGGTCTGCCATGTTATTCTTTTTAGTGGCACTGATAGTTCGCAAGAGCACAAAGAGGAGATAGCTGCTTCAGGCATAAGAAAAGTATTGATTGGCATTAAAAGCTTCTGCACATTTAAAATCACACCCATCTCAGTGGATGTAAGCTCTCCTTATTTCCAAAGCCCCAGATACAATGAGAAAAGGAACGATGCAGAGGGCCAAGGAACCCCATGCCTTGTCCATCTCCCATGCTTGTACACAAGCATTTTAGACCTTAGGGAATAGACCGGGTGTAGAAAAGTGGCCCCAACATCTGTGGAGAGTCTTACAACTCTTCTATCAAAGCACCCTAACTGATGTCCCTCCAGGAGAGCAGGGGGTCTGAGATCACAGAAAGAATCTCTCATTAGTCACCAAACCATGGTTGTCCACGATCCTTAATGAGGACAAGAGGTGCTATCGTGCTCCCAGCACCACTGAAGGTATGGCTTTAAGCCTTCTAGATGAACCTTTAATTATATTCTATACCAACAGGACTTTATCCCTCTTTTTCAGTCCCCACTGGGCTTCTTCACTTTATCTCCCTTTCAAAGCAGAATGAGTTTGGCAGCTGAAAGAAAGTAGGGTGAAGGGATCAGGATGACATTTGGTTGGAAGCTAAAAAAATCCAGTGTTCCTTCTACAACAATTATAATCATTATCATCATAAAACAAACATGTGTAGGTTTAAGCCTTGCCAGGATGGTATACATGGGTGGGGAACAGAAACATTTGCCATCGGTGACACCACCGAAGGCAGGGAGTGTACCAGATCTCCCAGGTTCCAGTGGCTTAAACCAGGTCAGGCCCAAGCCAGAGTGACCTCGCTGCCTGATGCCGGCCACATTGAGGCTGTCCTTCAGACAGATGCAGTACACAGCACTCTCTTCACAATTGCTTTTCTCTAAAATCTCTATAATATGGGGGAAAAAGAGGGCAAGGATCTCCTTTCCTCATGTCTTGGCAGGGATCATGGGCCCAGGTGATGGATGACATGCCCCGGGACACACCCACAACTCAGGTGGTGATAACTCTTTAATTAGGGAGCCACACCAAGCCATCTGCCCCCATTTTTGTTTCTTCAGGGCACCCAGTTGGTCCCAGTAAAGAGGAAGATGAGCAGAGGGGCTTAGAGTCCTAGATTTTTCTCACCACGGTGATGACATCCAAATAAATAAAGCCTCTGCAGCTACTTGGAGAAGAAAGATGGATGGTACTAGTAGAAAAACATTTACATAAAATCACCTATGCAAATAGCTATAGACACACTTTTAATTTGTTCTATAACCACATAAAACTTAAAAATTTTCATCAAGAGATGAAAATTTAAGTGAAAATAGAACTAAACAGTTTGATTTAAAAGTTATAGTGGTATTTCGATTACAGCATCTCACGGATGGAACCAAGAAAGATACAGTCCTCGGGCTATGCCAAGAGGAAAATGTGTTATTTCATGGAAAATCCACTCAGGTCACATCTGCCAGGCCACTTAGCTTTTGGATCATTTGCCACCATCATCCTGTACCCATGCTAAGATCAAACACATCTCCAGGGTCAGGACCATCTTGGGTCAGCCTGGCACAGACCTGGCTGCCCTTGGATCACTGTCCTGGTCTCCCACTGCCCCCACCCAGAGGGAGCACCGGCCACTGACCTGAAAGCTAATGTCCTGTTCATCTCGGAGATGTTTGTTCCTCTCCCTGTGGACAGGAAGGGGGAAGCTATTCAAACACAAGCCCACAGATCCAGCAATTGTCATTTTCCTGGTCAGACGGGTACAGGGCCAGGCCTACTGCAGAAGGCCCCAACAGCAGATGGAATTTCTTCCTTAGAGAAGTGATTAACTACAGAGGGTAGTTTGTAAATCAGCTCAGAGCAGGAGGGTAAGGCTGAGTGGTCTACCGATCCCTCAGCCCAGCAGGATGATGCATGACGCTTGTCACTAGGGGGCGTGCTCCCCTTCACCATGCTTGCTGAGAGGCCCCCTTCCACCTAAGCATTCCTTCAAGCACACATGCAGGCTCCATTCAAAGAGCACTTGCCAGGCTCTCAGGGATGCACTTATGAACAAAACACAAAGTCCTTGCCTCAGGGGACCTGGATGCTAGCAAGGGGACGATTGCTTCAGAAAACATAAAGCAGGAGCTTGGAAGAAGAGTGCCAGCGGGTGGCATACTACTTCTGTTAGCATGACCAGGGAAGGCCTTGCTGATGAGGCCACAGCTGAGTAGAGAACAGAGGAGAAAACTCAGGTATTTGGGGACAGCAGTGCAGGCAGAGGAGAAAGCAAGGCAAGGCTTGGACTGGAGCATGTCTGGGGTGCCTGAGGACCAGGAGAGAAATAAGAGAGGGCAAGGAAAATGAGAGTGAGTCTGGGTAGGACCTTCCCATTCACTGCCCTCTGGATCACTGGAAGAACACTGCAAATGAGATGTGAAGCCATGGAATGGGGAGCAGTGGATGGCCGAGGGTGTCACGATCTGACTAGCTTTGAAAGAAGCCCCCTGGATACTGCACTAAGAATTGGCTTTGGGGACAGGGTGGACCAACAGTTTTAATGAGGTGGAGGTCACAGGTGGGTGGAAAGGAACCATTTCGGTAGGATGGTAGAGAAAGGGCATTGAGCAGACAGGAAGGTAAATGACTCCTTTGGAAATTTTGTTGTGAAGGGATGGAAGAAATGCAGAACAGTTGGATGGAGACGTGAAGACCTCGGGGATCAGGGGGGAAATGTTACACATATCTGTGGGCACCTCTAACAAGGAGAGAATAGATGGCAAAAGACATGAGAACAGATGCTAGAGTGAGCCTGCAGCAGCCAAGAGGAACCTGTCAGTTCCCGAGCTGGGCACGGAGTCGCCTTCTCAAGAAGCACAGGTTGCTGCCCCATGGCAGCACAGAAGGCAGAGACGCGGCCCAGGTGGACCCAGGGCAAGCTCCCAGGACAGCTTCCAGTGGGCATCTAAGGAGGAGGACAGAAAGGGTGCTAGAGGCCCAATGCATCGTAGAACATGGGATGCAGTGTGGCTGCAGAATGCGCTGGACTGTAATGACTGAGAGTCTTATCTGTGGACATGAGAGATCAGAAGACCATATAGCACATGAATCTCTGTGACTCGGTGATGCCTCAGGTCACTGGCCTAGGAACCAGTGCACACTTCTGAAGGGAAAGGGAGGCTCAGTAGAGGCCGGGTTCTGGCCACACTGCCTACCCAGCACTTCCGGGCCAGGTGCTTGCTCTGTGTTATATACTACAGGACTAGTGTCAGGCAGGCCTTGGAGATAACAACCAGGGTTTGCCTGAGGTGTGGGGGTGTTCTGTAAGCCCGAATAGCACAGACACCACAGGTAGAAGGAGCCTCTTCTGTGCAGGAGTATGTTAGCAGCCTCATACCCAGGTGAAGGCTTTGGGTCCCTGGATACTATTTCCTGCTTCGTGCAGCCATGCAGAAACTACAGCATTTAAAGAAATGCAGCATGGGGCCGGGGAGATGGCTCAGTGGAATAAGCACTTCCCTGGCAAGCACAAGGGTCTGAGTTCAATGCCCGGTTCTGCCAAAAAAAAAGAAAGAAAGAAAAGCAGCATGTCCCTCCCCTCACCACAGTGTGGCCTGTGGAACCCCACTTGCAACCATCACCCAATTCTCCAAAGAAGCCTATGAGCCGGGCATGAGGCAATGCAGACCCAGATGGCCACATCATCTGCCCAAGACCACACCAGATTGTGATCTTGCGCCAAGCCAGGTTGCAGTGCGGATTTCTAATCAAGTGCTCTGAAATGTGCTGTCTGCGTAGGAGCCCGGTGCTCCTTGTTCGGCACATTCCAGCCATCCTCCTGACCCTCCCCCCACCACCTCTGCTTCCACATCCCTGCTGGCTTCCCTGTCATGCCCACACCTGGCATGGTCACCACCTGTGATTCCTGAGGATCCCCTGTGATGGGCACACTGCCCTGGGGGCTTCTGCCCCTGACAGCTCAGCTTCAGCTTAGTAACCCCACAATCACACAGAAAGTCGGCCTCAGGGAGAAGCCCAGAGAGCCTGTGGAGTGCTGCTTTGCCAGTCTCTTAGGATCTGCTTCTGAATTTCTTCCAAGCACAATAGATGAAAAGAAAAACAAGTAATTTGTCCTTATCCAGCCCGTTCTCTTCCTCTTACTAGATGAGGCCTGCCTCTGAATCTGCTGCCTGCTGTGGAGACCTGTTGCCTCGTGCAGAGTAGGGTTCATCAGAAACACATCCGGGGACGCTGTTTTGACCTGGTACTGTCCCTGATGCCAGGCACAGTGACGGGCCCTGTCCTAAAACCCCAAACTCCAAAACATACCCAGGAGGCGAGTGGAGCAATCTGCACCCAGAGCCTTCTGTCCATCAGCAGCAGGTGCCGGGGCAGCGGCAACACACAGCCACGTCGGCAGCACTGGGAATTCCATCCTGGCTGACACAGGCTTGCTTTTTTTTTTGTACATTCCAGATCAGTGAACTCTGAATTTATTCCAGTGCACTTTAGAAGTCTCAGGAAACTCCTTTCTTGTGCTGTTGACTGTTTGTGATTTGTTTACTCATCCAGAAAACAGGAGTGGAATATAGCTGAGTACAAGGAAAAGCCAGCTGTGGACTTCAAGCCTGGCTCATCAGTGAGGAGCTTTGTGGCTTCTAATAACTTACGAATATCAGCCTCTCCTGTGCCAGTACCTTCCTGCCCCAACTGCCACTTTACTTACCTAATAGTATGGTAGAAGACAAGGGAGATAGTGCAGCAGGCACAGAGGAGCTGCCTGCTAGGTCCAGCTGCACCCTTACCTGAGCAGGTACCATGCAAGACACCAAGGTCAAGGCAGAACTGTGTGAACGGCACAAACCATAGAGGGATGTAGGCATGTGTGTCACTGTACCAAGCACCCAAGGGAGTGGTGTCCAGTGGTCCAACCACAACCAGGGGCCAAGGGAGTAAACGTGCTCCTTGCGACCTCTGGATGCCCTTTTAATCTAGGCATCTGGATGCATTCTCACCCACCTCAGGAAATCCAGCTGTTTCAGGAGCCCCGACTTCTCTCGCTGCAGACTCTCTGTCACAAGATACACCTCCCTGGGGAGTAGCAGACAGAGCAATGAGCAGGCTTGGGGAGGAAGGGGCTGCAGGGAGCAAGGAGTGGGGGGTCCTGGCTTGTGGTCTTAACTTAGCGCGTTATCAGACACCCCTCTGGACGGGAGATGGCTCCACCATGTGATCACAGACAGGAAGCTTGGCAACACAGACATCATGACTGAGTCTGGGGCCTCTAGACCTCAGGTTCCAGAGCCTGCTTATTTCACAGCCACTTCCCATGGCACCTGGCCACATAACTGGGTGGTGCCGGTGTGGTTGCTCCAGACAGGCTGCCACCCTTAACTCTGAGGACAAAAGTCAATATTCTCCTGCAGCCTGATCCCTGGGGAGAGTTTACATCATCATCTCTACCCTCACACACCCGACACTAGGTTAGTTCACTTTCAGATGATCTGAAAGGATCATTTGCCCTTCACCATTTCCCCTCAAAGTCCCCAAACTGTTCCCAGATATCTGGAATTTTCCACTATTAGGCATTTATTTCCTTGATGGGCTTTCTTGTCTCTGGGTCTCATGCAGAGAGTGAGTGGATCAACTGTAATCACTCACAGAGTGACACAGTGGGACCCAGGGTGACTGCAGGACAGCTGAGCCTGGGGGGAGTGCTGTGTTTTGCTCTTCAAAATCACACCTGGCACAGAGCCCCAGCCCAGACTACACATGAAGAAAAGGAGAGCAGGGAAGGAGTGGGTAGAGAGAGGAAGAGAAGAATAGAGGAAGGAGGAAGAGGTGGGAGGCCAGGGAGGAGGGCAGGTTGGGTCAGGTGGGGAGCTGAAGGACTGCTGGGGCAGGAAGGGGAAAGGCAAGTGAGCCCAAGCCACAGAGGCCTGCTCCACCCCACACTTGCACCTCCTTCCGGTCTGCTCTGAGCCTCAGTCTGGAAACATCCAGATGTTCATGTCACTCGCTTCACCACTTAGGGGTCGCATTCCAGCCCTTAGCTTGAGGAGCACCCACAGCCAGGTGGGGGGCTGCCTGCACCATTGGGGCCACAGCCTGGGAGGGTCCCCTCAGCCATCCATTAATGTCCCTGCCCAGGGGGTGCAAGCAGCACCAGCAGGCTGGGTCCAGGCCTCCCGCAGAGCACCTGAGCACCCAGCTCCTTCCTTTCTGTGCTCTTCTCTTCTTCCTCTTTAATTGTGAGTTTACACCATAATTGTGAGTTTGCCTCAGGACAAGAACAGATCAAATCTGAGCTCACCTCAGACAATCCTAAGGAAGACACAGCGCTTCCCTGGCACCCTCCTGCAGAGCTGTGGGTTCCTCACATTTTATTACTAATTATGTTTAATTTCAACTTAAGGGAAAACAATGTATTTTCCATTATCCAAGTGGGTCCCTGAGCTCTTTCTGGACTGGCTCTGATCAGCACACCACACACCCAGCCTCCCACTCCTCTCTGCCCAGCCTGAGCTCAACAGCTCCATCACTCAGTGCACAGCCCAGGGCAAAAAGCCAATTCCTAAATCACAGGTCTTCAGGATCTTCTCTCCTCTTCTGTCCTATCGCCAGCCAGAGCCACAGAACCACATTTACATGCATGACATTCACATGCAAATACGTATGTAGCTACTCATCTGGTGAACATGCCTCTATTCAGATATACAGTAACTGCTGCTATCAAAAAGAAAGGCTCTCCTGATTAACTGCCCCTTATAGTTCCTCTAACTTGGAGGTTCTAACAGTCTCTTCCTAGGTAAAATGCAAATTACACGGGAAAGAACCTGCTGGGGATTTTTGTAGCCACTGGTGAGAGGTTTATGGTTCCCTTTAGGGAGGGGCTGTTGGGTTTGTTTTTAGGAAGAGAAGAAATATAGAACACTTTAAAAATATGTTGCCAAGTAAGAAGCAAAAGGCAAAAGGAGAAGAGTACGCTTGCCCCGCTACTGTCTCGTAAAGAATGGTGTGTGCGTTGGTGCACTGAGCACACCCTGGGACGCGATGACTGGTGCCCCCTGGGTGACAGAAGACTGAAGTCACAGTGGGCAGGCGTTTCTCAAAATTTATGCTTCTGCACCATGTCAGAAACACCCACTCAAAACAAAAGTTAATTAAAAACAGAGCCATGCTGCTTTTGTGCCGACCTCTATCTTTCTATTATCTCTGCTCTTGGTTCTTTCTTCATCTCATTTCGAGATCCAGTACTCCTACTCTGAGCATCCTCAGACAGCAGGAAAATTAATTTTGCCTGTCCAGAGTTCTTGCTGATAAATGACTAAGTCTGTTTATTTCCTACTCCACCTCTGTTCCTCCCTGAGGCTCTGGAGTGGTGCAGGCAGAGCCATCAGGGGACCCACAGGCATAGGGAGAACAGGTCTCTCCCAGGCTTCTGGAAGAAACCAGCTGTGTGGCTTTGCATACACCTCTCCAAGTCTTGGTTTCTCCCTGAACAAAATGAAGGCAGCAGATTAAACATTTAAGGCCAGCCAGTAAAGCAGCTCTGTGATTCCATTCTGTGGGGACCAAGTCAGGGTCCCACTATCTGTCTGTCCTGGGTGGGACATGTTGTCCTGGACAATGCGGCTTTCAGATGCATGGGATATTCTGAGCCCCGTGAAAACTGCGTGGTGAAGCTGTGAATCCTGCCCCCACCCTCCGGAGACTGGGGCTCTGGCTAGGTTAATTAAGATGAGACTTCAGAAAGCTGAGTCCTCAGGTGGAGCTCCAGGGCTGCGCTTTATATTCCAGTTTACTGTTCTAATTCTCCTGCTTTCAGATGTTAGCTGCTTAAAGAACTTGATTGGACTTCAAGAGCTGGAATCTTTCATTCTGTTCATAAAGTTAAGGGCTCACCCTGTGTTGCCCCTGCTGCCAATGAGGAGGAATTGATTCTGCTGGTTCACTCTGAAATACACATTCTTTCTACACTGGCCCACCAATAACTGGGACAGAAGGGCTTGATTTTGTTTGGGGGATCTGTTTTTCTTGACTGGAGATATCTTACTGGGATCAGATTCCCAGTCTGAATCCATTTCTTTCTACTGTCTTCGCCACCCACCCCCAGTGGTGTGGGACTCAGTACATGAACAGAATGGAGGACAAGATGGGTTAGACCTGTGTGCCCAGGTTTCGCCGCGGTCAGAAGAAAAGGGATTTTCTCTTCTGAATGAGGGCAAGCAGAGCACAGAGCACTGGGAATACACAGGTCAGCGCCCAGGCTCCTCTCAGGAGCAGCCCCACGATGACCTTTGCAGAAGGAACACATGTGTGAGTGGAGGATGGAGCAGAGTGAGCACTGGTCTTTTGCTTGTCCTTCCTGGCTGGCTCATTCTCTGGGAGGTCACCGAGCACTTAGCATTGTGGGGCTGTGACTTAAAACTTGTAAACCTCAGTTTCTTCCCCTGTGAATCAAAGTTGAGAAGCATGGCACCAGCTGTAGCTGTAAGGTCGCACGGAGGCTGCTGAATTACCAACTCTGGTGAGACACGTTTGGGCCCAAGGTGGCAGGCACTGAGGGTGGAATGATCTGCGATAGCAGATAAATGAAAGGACACATCACGACATCTCTCCACGCTGGGCTTCCGAGTGCAAGCCTCACACTCCCCATATGAGGTAAGTGGCTGATTCCTACTCTGGTGGACCACTGCCCAGCTGGATGACCAAGCCCAGTAGCCAGACTCCAAGAGCAGGTTTCACTGGCAAATCAGCCCAGAGAGATGTGTGGTTCACTGTGCCCTGCCTGGGCCCATGACATCTAAGAGGAAAACACTGCTGGAAAAATGGACAGAGTAGAGTGATGACTCTAGGCCCCTGCCATCAGCCTGCCAAATCATTGCTGATGCCAAAGTCTTTCCACTCTGCCCCTGGGGCCCTAGTTCTTAAAACTGTGATGGTCACTGGAGGTCAGTCTGCTCACCCAGCATCTGCTCACCAACTATCACGTCTGCGGATGGAGAGCACGTCTTCCTAATCATATAATGAACTTCCCGGGGCCAGGGTTATCTAGTTCCTGTCACTCCCAGGTGGGGTTGGCACCACACTGGTTGCTCAGCAGTCTCCAACTCTAGAAGAGGGTTAGAAGGAGCTGAAGGAGCAATGGGCCTGAGTCCCTGTCCCACAGGCAGGCAGAGGGTTGTGAGAGTGACAGCGTGCCGCAGCTGGAGGCAGGGAGCAGAGCAGGCCGACTCACATTTCCTTCTCCTGGTACAGCTTGCAGGCCTCTTGCTGGAGGCTCTCCAGCTGCTGCTGGGCATCCTGCAGCTCCTTGGAGGTCCGCTCCAGCTCCCGTGCCAGCTCCTGGTTTGTGAGCTTCAACTTGGTGTTCTCAGCCTTGGTCTCATGCTTGTCGTTGTGTAGAGCCATGCACTGGCCCTCCAGCTGGAAAGCAACAGTGAGGGGGAGTGAGGAGTGACCACCACGGACTGGCAGTGGGCCAGCCCAGACTCTCCTTGCTCTCCCTGTGGAAGGGAGGGTCTGTCACTGCTCTCAAGCTGAAGGCAACATGGTCTTTCCCGAACACCTTGGCATTCAGTAGGCAGGACGGAGCCTTCAGAGCTTACCTCTCCCGTCCCCGCCTAGGCACCCCCCTGAACAGGCCAGGAAGAGCTGCCCCACTCCACAGGCCCATGAGGCTGGGGTGCAGCTCAGTGACAGAGCCCTTGGCAACCTGTGAGAGGCCACAGGTTCCACCCTCAATGGCAAGTAAACACTACCACAGGAAATCCCACAGTCTACCTGTATCTCTCACCCCGAAGCAGAGTGGTCTTGCAAACCACACTCTGTAGGGGGCGATAGAATGCTCCTGTTATATTCTCCCTTATTTGGGCAAGAAGTACTGCAGCACCAATCCCCACTTGCCTCGACATCTTCCTGTGGTCCTGGATCTCCACTACCAATCCACAACTAGTCCCACCCAACTGCTTCCACTATACAGCTATTTAGACCCTGTTCACTTCCTCAATAAATGAGACTTGATCAGAAAGCCTGTCTTGTCTCCATCTCTCGTGTCTCTTGCCCTGTCTTGTTCATTCCCGTTCCTCCTCCAGGTCATTACCCCACGTCTCGACTCACGGGCCGAGTCAACACTCCATCCTTGTCCTATGAGCCCTTGATGGGGATAGAGAACAGCTCAGTGCCATTCTTCAAGAAGCTGGCTATTCAGCAGCTGGAGAGCCTCCAGCAAGAGGCCCATCCCAACTGTGGATGCTGAGGGCAACTTTGTTTATTCCCTTACTACCTCTCAGCTAACTAAGTCTAATTTCTTTAATCTTAAAAAATATCCTTTTTTTTTTTTTTGGAAACCAGAAGCCCTTCAATGCTTGGAGAATAATTACAGTTGGTCAAAGAGACCCTAAACATCTTCTCATGTCCCCAGAGCAACTTGACCCCCATATCTTGGTAGCTGCAGCTTTTCCTGTGATGATGCTTTGCAGGGCTTACAGCATTCTCACTAGAAAAACAGCTGCACCACGGCAGAGCATAATCAATTCCATTTAATGAATGTGGCCAGGAAGGGAAGAAGAAAGTAACAACATGGAATTTTGTGTAGCTCTCAAGAGGCTCCTGTGTAATCAGGCAAGCATGCAATAATTAAATTGAGTGGCAATCATTCATATGAGGGATAAATCTAACTGTTAAGAATTTAATGTATCACAGTGAGGAGGCAAGAAGAAGAGAGGTGCAAACGTAGATTGGAAAAAGGAAGGCGGCTGGCAGATCACGTGGCTGACATTGCCTTCCTGCAACATAAAGAACTGGAATCTGAAGCCCGGACAGTAGCAGCAGCAGCAGCAGCAGCAGCAGAACATGACGGTACCCAGGCAGAATTGAGGTCTCTTATTTTAATGTGCTGCCAAAAATAACTCTCTGTATTCCCAGGTAAGCAATGAGTCTGGGTGGTTTTCTACAACTGAATTCCTCTCAGGACCTTGAAAGGATGCAAAAGGCAGCAGCCCCCTCACCCATGCCACCTCATGAGCCCTGGCTTTGGAGAGGTGCCTGGGCACGATGCTTGCCTATCCCACAGAGATGCTGCCCTGTACCCTCTGCCTACTGCTCAGGTAGTCAGAGGAGGGTGTCTGGGGTCTACACCCATTCTGAGCTTATAGGGGGCAGCACAAAGTAACCTGATGAATCTCATCCAGACCATGTCAGACAGAGGAGGGATATGCCCACCTCTGAGAAGCCCTTTCCAGCTGGACAGGTCCCTGACCTTCCTGCAGCCTCCTTTCAAATGTCAGAGCATTTCCTTGTGCTCCCAAGTTTCCCCCTGTTCTCACACAGGCTGTGGAATCGGTTCAAGTTTGGGCATTCCCATGGTCCCTGGATAAAACTATGAAGACATCTGCAGGCCCTTTGAAGTCAGTGGCAACTTTTCCAAATTAAAAACCTGGCAATGGAGAAGTTGTTTTTTTCCCTGAGGGTCACGAGTGACTTTTCAACACTATCTTGTAGGACCACATGGTTCTTCTCAGAGTAAACAAAAAGCTTTGTGAGTGGCAGGGACAAGAGCCAGAGACATAGATGAAAGGAAGAGCCAGGACTCTGAGGAGTACCAAAACCTACCCTCTTCTGCTTCTGGTTGAGTCGCTCCAGCTCCTGCTCCTTAGCAAATAGCTTCTTCTCCAGCTCCTGACTGCGGGCCTGGAACCTCTCTGTGTCCTGCCAAGTGGGCGGAGGGAACGCACAGGGCCTAAGATGGACTCATCAGCAGGCATTGGCCCTCAATGCCGTGAGGCCCTTCCCACCGCACGCCAAGGCCTGTGGGGGTGGCGAGAGGCGCAGGGAGCACCACACTGCCCCACTGGTATGCCCTCATCTGGCCACTGCATCTGGCACCCATCACCCCCACCAGAGAAATAACCCAGGGTTAGCATGGAGCTCAGAGAGGGGAAAACAGAGTCCTCAGCTTGTCTCTAAACTGGGGGTGGAGGGGGAGGCAGATGACCTCTAAGACCGCTCCAGTTTGAGTTCGCTGTTCCATGTTGAGCCCTGGATCCCTGACACCGTCCCTGCATTGGCCTCTCCAGTTCTCCACTGTCACGGGCCCCTCCGATGTTTGTGCCTCTGCTTACAGTATCCCTCTCCTTTTGCCCTTGACTGCACTCCCCTACTCTGACATGCTGAGGCCTGAAAGATGCAGGAGTGACAGGTGGGCTATGAGACAGAGGAGCACTGTGGAGGTCACACCTGGTGGAAGGGCCCAGAGCCGGCACCAGAGACATGGACTCCAGTCCCTGCATATCCAGCTGATTGGCTTCTGGATCACTCACAAACTAGAAACACAAATCCTCAGGCTGGGGTATGGCTTGGTGGTAGAGTACTTGCCTGACACAGGTAGGGCCCATGGCTCCATGCCTAGAACCCCAAGAGAAAAAAAAAAAATCCAGGCTTCTGTAGCCCTTCACTTTCCAGAAGGTGGAACAAAGGTGTAAAAAATGCAGGAAGAGAAGAAACTTTAAATCTCCTCTTACTCTCTGCTGCAAAGCCCTGCAGGTCCCCATGACAGGGAAAGATGCTTTTCCAAGGACAGGGTAGGACACTACCCTGGGCAAGGTGGTGGGGTAGGGACCTGGCTGGAAGGTTGGAATGGTGGCAGGCAGCAGCCAAGGGGGAGAATGTTACTGCTGTAGGCTCACAGGCCACTGGACCTCCTCAGGTCCTCACCTGCTTCCTGTGGGGGATGGGGACCGTGGCCTGGGACCATCCGCATGTTAACCAGGTGATGGCACAGGGAGTCGCACCTGCTGAGACAACTGCTGCTCCAGCCACTGTTTCTGCAGAATCAGCACCAGGAAACCTGCCGTGAATGGCATGGCTGCTTCTGAGGAGCAGGCATCCCACAGACAGTGCTGGGCGGCACAAGGCCACAGACGCCGCATACTCCACAGGGCATCCCCCACCCACCCCAGGGCAGAGCAGTGGACAGGACTCCTGACTGGACCCTGAGGTACAGATGGTTGAGCACCTCCTTCATGGCCAAACACACTGCGAAGTGCAGAACAAGGATCCAAGCCTGGCCAGGAGTGCAACCTCTCCCAGGATGCCACAAATGGAACTGGCACTATCCCCACTCTATGACCAGGCTTAACGGCACTGTCAACGGTGTCTTAAGAGCCTCCATGCTCGCGCCAAAAGCATAAGCGCAAGCACTCAGCATTTGGTGTGTAGAAAGGAGAAAGAGGAAGCAGAGGGAACAGCTGAGGGCCACAGCATGGTAGCCAGCACATGCTCAGGATCACTAACCTGCCCTGAACGTTTTCCTCTGAGCTCCATCCCCTCCCAGCCCATGCCCAGGCCCACTTCTTGTTTCTGAAAGTTTGTGTTTGATCTTAGTGATTGCCCCAGGTAGAAGGGGCAAATGCCCCCAGAGCTTGTGCCTTCTGTAGTATGTCATTTGGGATAAAGGGGTAGCTTCCCCTCACAGGGTGGGGGCTGCAGCTGTCAGAAAGTGTGGTAGGTCTGCTGGGGCAGTGTGTAAGTACCATCTGCTCTAGGCATGTCACCCCCATCCCCAGCTGAGGGGCAGGGCAGAAAGAGGACAGCGCTCTCAGAGATGCGGAGCTCTTGGAATGCTGACAAGCTCCAGAGGCTCTGGCTGTAGAACACGGCTGGATGTTTCTGATTCCTTCCCTGCCTGAGTGACATCTGTAATACTAAATGCAGCCATGGTGTGGATAATCCAAAGCAACATGTGACTGAAGCTTGATTCAGGCTCTGGGACCACACTCCAGAGCTAGTGATGAGATGCAGAGGAGCTGCAGGTCAAGCTCAAAGGCATTTCTGTTAAAAACTCAGTGTGAGAATAGACAATAGAGTTTCTTTTAGGTTTTTTTTTTTAATGAATATATTCCCAAAAAAGACCCTGCTTAGCTTGGTGTGGGAGAGAATTTCACCAGTCATGACCTCAAGACAAATAGCAGTTCTAGGAAAGAGGCTGACTGTGTGCCAAAGTAGGAACAGGGAGGTAAGCTCCCACGGCATCTGAGCATGGCGGAGTCTGCCTTTCTGGACAATGACATCTAGGCATTTAAGGAGAAGATACGGGCAGCCTGGGCAGTAATGGCTGGCCCCTGGGAACAACCATTTCCCCTGCTGGAAACGGTGTGAAATTGGACTGTACGTGGATGGATCTTCAATACAGGTCTAGGCATCAGCCAGTTTCTGACCCAATCTTTAGGCTGCTTTGCTGGAAGTGTACACTGCATCCTTCCATCCTCCTGTTGACCATCAACTGATTGAAAAAATATTTACTGAATACCTGCCATATTCCAGGCATAGTCCAGGAGCCGAGGATGCAATAGTAAGTAAAATTCAAACATCCCTACTTTTGTGGAGCTTATATGCTTATAGGAGGCAGCAGACACGAATCAATAAAAATAAACAAGTACATCATATGTCATGTTCAAAGGTGACAAATGCCTGGAAAAATAAATAAAGCAGAGAAAGAGAGAATCAGTAGCACCATGGTGGTGGCACTGTGATGTCACACTTGGTGGAGGTGGTCAGTGCAGAAATGTCAACCCAGCCAGCCCTCAGAGCCCAGCCAGAAGGTGGACACTTACCTTTAGGAGAAACTGCTCCCTCTCGTTTTTGATTTGTTGCTCCATCTCCTCATAGAGATGCTGGATTTCTTCATCATAAGTAGCAATTTTCCTATAGAGGTGATAAAAGGAAGGTGTGATGGGGTTGGCACTGAGAACACCCCATTCTCTGGTGGCAGTTCTGTAGGTGACTGTAGGTCAGGTCAGCTGAGGCTGACATCTACCCCTCAGGACCAGAGGACCTGGCCGGGGTGCAGAGCCCAGCTGGACACCCTCCACTGTCCAGGGCTACACCTCGCACACCACCACCTCGGGTCTATCTGACCCACACACTCCTTGAAGTGGCTTCCATGGATACATCTTCCTTACCCTGTGCTACATCAACACCAGGCCTTTGCCTCTGCCCCAGACTCAGTGCCCCTGCTCCCACGGACCTCCATGCTCAGAGACAGCTGAGGGGTCTCTGCATCTTAGCTCCTCTCCTTTCTGGATGGGAAGCTGGCTCCACCTGCATATAGCAGCACTCTGACACTGTCTCATGGATGCCCCTTGCAAATGTGCTCTTAAATCCGCATCTCCATGTTTCTCGGAAGAGTCTCAGATGTCATGATGATAACAGCAATCTCCACACCCTGGACTACAAAGGCCCACAAAGCTTCCTTGGGATGAATATTTTCTGCTCCTCTTTCTCTCACAATTAATAGATTCTCCTTCAAATATTCCTCCATAGTCAAACAGGAAGGACCTGGATACAGCATTTGACCTGAAGCTGGATGTCATTAGACAACATGTCACTATTTTCATGCAACTGCCTCGGTACATCTTCCCTCTGACCACACGGTGGGAGACCCTCTCTGTGGCCTCCCATCGCTGTCTTCTCCCTGTCCTGTTAGCACTGCAGGTCTGTGAACAGGCTGATATTATTACAGCTCTCCGTGCCTGGCTGAATGTGTAGCCTGCCACTGGAAACTGTCCTTTATTCTAGAGACCTCAGTTCTCACAGGAATGGCCCTGGCTTTCAGTTCTAAGAGGCACAGTGGAGATCTCCAAACAAAACATAAAGGGTGGGACTGCAGTTCTTCTCCTGAGTCCTCCGTCAGTTTACCCCTCCTCCGATGGCCACTTGGGACCCCATCCCCAAGGCTGGACCTTCCTGCTGTCCAAGGCTTTGCCATAGCTCAGTTGTAGTCCCTTTCTCACATGTCACTTGTAGTGAATGTGTGCACCATGGGCACAGACTCAGCAATCCACATAGGGACATCTCAGTGTCATCTTTCTGGCTCTACAGAAAATAGAGACTAGATATATCCAAAGGAACTGGGTGAGACTCTAAGGTCAGGGTCATTCACAATGGAGTACTAGCCTCTGAGTGCTCCATTGTGTGCCCTCACTAGCCTCTGAGTGCACCATTGGCTGTGCCCTCAAAATCTATTAAAATAGATTTGGCTCCACCCACGCACATACTGAGGAAATGAGCTTGTTCTGGGATCAAGGATCAGAACATAAGTCTTCTGATCCTGAGCTTGCTTGGATGCTGTTAGTGACAACAGTACCTTAATAGTCCCCATTCCCAAGGCTGGTGTGTTCCGACCCAGGCTCGTTGCAATGCTGTTCAGGCCTAGAGCCTGTATGACAGTGGTCCCAGGCCGTGCTCACCAGAAGACGAATGTCCTCTAAGAAGAGATGAGAGTTCTCCAGGAGTCCCACCAGCTGGAGTTTGGTCTTTAGGAAGGTGTTCTTTGTCCCTGGTATAACTAGTATCTTTGGTCAAGAGTAAGACATCTCTTCTTGGTAAATGACAGATGATTAGGGTTGCCATTTTTGCCTCCACTAAGAAACCCTGAGAGGGAAAGGCCCATGCTATTAGATAGGACACCTTCAGGTCAGAAAGAGAAACAATTGGAAGGAACTCTCAGAAAGCAGGATGGGTTCCTCTTGGTCCCTGCAATCACTTTCCTGTGTTTGAAGAAACTCAGATGCTAGGAGGCAAACGGTGCCAAGGAAAACTTTAGACAGTGATTCCAACTACATAAATACTGATACAGAACTAATAAAGAGAGCTGAGAGCAACTTGAAAATTGATTTGGCTCTACTAAAGCAATACTAATTATAGTCATTCATGTAGACTATTTACATTTATGCTGAATAACCCGGCAGGGCATTAATTTTATGGTACCATTAAATGTATAATATTAATTTTGCTCTAAGTTTTACTTGATTAAATTAATACTCTCCATCTTTCATGCTCACATGCCATTTTGCTTCTCCTAAATTAAGTTATTTCAGAAACCATTACAGGGGCTGGGGAGATGGCTCAGTGGAATAAACACTTTCCTGGCAAGTGCAAGGGCCTGAGTTCAATCCCCAGTTCCGTCAAAAAAAACCCCATTATAAAGCAAGTTGAAGGAAGGCTGAATGTGGCTTCAGCTCACCCCTGTTCCCAAAGCTTGGACAGACTCTAAAGAAGTCCTGGGGTATCCATGGGCATCAGTGATTCTGGGCCTGCAAGTCTCATTCATAGAGCCAGCCCTTTGGAAGAACTAGCCTTGTGGGAGACTCTAGGCCTAAACAGCATTGCAACAAGCCTGGGTCAGAACACACAGTACTGGGTACGGGAACTGTCAAAGTACTGTTCTTGCCAATAGCATCATTAAGCAAGGTCGGAATCAGAAGACTTATGTTCTGATCCCTGATCCCAGAACCAGCTTATTCCCTGGGAGTGCCCTTGGGGAAATACTCTGACTTCCCATCCTGGGGCAGGGCTCATTCCCCTGGGGCAGGGTATTTCTCTTTCCCCCAGCATGTCAGAATGAGCATCAGGACAGTGTGTGTGACAAGTATTCAGAACCACCAAGCCCGAGATAAATGTAAGGAGTCGTGTATTCCTCATGCACTGTGGAGGACAACTCTGAGAGGAGAAAGATCTTAGTTTCAAGGATGAAAGGGCAGCTGTGGTTAGAAAGGCTCAGAGGCAATCAGAAGATGAAGAAAAAGCTTAGTCAATAAAAGCTCCTGTCAGAGCAATCCATTAGCAACACAAGCTGTGTGTGAGCAGGAACTGCAGAGCTGAAGCCCACATCTGCGGAGATCCACCGGGGCTGTGAGAGTGATAACAGTGAGAGGCATCTGAGGGGTCCGTGCAGACAGCGAGCTGCACCCAGCCAAGCACACATGCTCCGCTCTCACAGCGACAACGCACCGTGTCTGCTTCTTATACACATCTTCGTCACCATCATTTCTGAGACACTCAGATTGCTTAATGCACACAAAGACTGCAACATCTACGAGAAGTCCCTCATCGTTCCAACACTTGCTGACCCTTTGTTGGAACTCTCTGACACAATATTTCCATTTAATTTCCAACAGGCCTGAACTATTTGGGTTTCATCTGGGTTGGGGCTGTCTCTACTAGACTATGAACACTCAGACTTTTATGTGCTCATCATGAAAAAGAAAGAAAAACTTATATTCCTTCTAAAGGAGAAACAAAAAAGAAGTCCAAGTATCCCAATGCACCCAAGAGACCTCCGTCATCCTTCTTTTTGTTTTGTTCTGAGTATCACCCCAAAATCAAAGGAGAACATCCTGGCCTCTCCATTGGTGATGCTGCAAAGAAACTTGGAGAAATGTGGAATAATACTGCAGCAGATGACAAGCAGCCATATAAGAAGGCTGCTAAGGTTGCTTTCATAAAAATATGAAAATGACATCGCTGCCTACTAGGCTAAAGGAAAACCCGATGTAGCAAAAAAGGGAGTCGTCAAGGCTGAAAAAAGCAAGAAAAAGAAGAAAGAGGAGGAGGATAAAGAAGATAAGGGGGCTCTTGCTCTTTGCCACCACCATGAAAGGTTGCTTTCTGCTGTGTGCTGCTCTGCATTGGACCCAGCTGAGTATGGACTGAAACCTCCAGTAACTGTGAGCT